AGGTATGATCGGATCTCTTCTCTATCTTACCGCTAGTAGGCCGGATATCATGTTTAGCGTATGCCTTTGCGCGAGGTATCAATCATGTCCGAAGGAATCGCACTTAACCGCGGTGAAACGGATCATGAAATACCTTGTCGGCACGGTTAACGTTGGACTGTGGTATCCAAAAGGCTCTTCTTGTCATCTCGTTGGTTATTCCGACTCGGACTTTGCCGGTTGCAAATTAGACCGTAAAAGTACGAGTGGGACTTGCCACTTACTTGGTAGCTCCCTTGTCTCATGGTTTAGTAAGAAACAAGTCAGTGTTGCGTTATCCACAACCGAAGCGGAATATGTAGCCGCCGGTAGTTGTTGTGCTCAAATCCTTTGGATGAAGCAACAACTCGTGGACTATGGCCTTAGTATCAATCACGTTCCCCTTCGTTGTGATAATACTAGCGCCATAAGCTTGACGAAAAACCCTGTTCTTCACTCAAGGACGAAACACATTGACATTAGGCATCATTTCATTAGAGATCATGTTCTCAAAGGTGATGTCGAAATTGAGTTTGTTGAAACACACAACCAATTAGCCGACATTTCCACAAAACCTTTAGAGAAAGAGTCGTTCTTCCGCATTCGAAGTGAACTCGGAATCCTTGACTCCACGATGATCTAAGTTTTGAATCTAAATTTATTAAACACTTACTATCTTGAGCGTCGGAAAACTTTTTCTCTTTTGCAGGTACCCCGTTCATAAAATCAGGGGGAACCATGAAAACAGCGCTGTCCATCAACCCAACAGCGCTGTCCCAGGGAGTCCCTTACACCTTCACTTTCTAGAAACTTTCTGAACATCGATGTTCCCTTTAGAACATCGCCGTCTTCCCAAAACTTTTTGTTTTCAACCAAAACCAGAAACCTTTTAAACAGTGATGTCTTACCTTCAACATCGATGTCCATTTTTTTCAAATGTTTTTCCAATCGCATAACAGCGATGTAGGATAACCCAACAGCGCTGTCCTAATGGGTTTACACCCTTAAACAATTCCAGAAACTTTTGGAACATCGCTGTAGGGAACTCAACATCGCTGTCCTTTTGACTCTTGTTTTTTTTTTAAACTTGACGCAGAAGATCGCTGTACAAGAAACAACAACGATGTCCCAACAGCGATGTCCCCTGTAGAACATCGCTGTTCTGGTCAAAATTTTCAAAAAAAAATCCGTTGGCTGCAGCATTAACTTCTCCAACAGCCATAATTTTGAAAATCAGGCCGTTGGACACCACCTTTCCTATAAATTGGGACCCCCTCTCTTCACTTTTACACACACAAACACAAATTCCTTCAATATCTTCACATATTTCATCCTCTCTACTCTAATTTTTTGAGTTTTCTTCACAATGGGCAAAGACAAGAACAGGGCAGGCACCTCCGGAAAATCCAAGTCCAAATCCCGGGCTCCATCCACGACCTCCGAGGAACGCCTCTACTACGGCGATGGATCGTACCTCTGGTTCGATTCCGAGGAGGAGCGCACCCGATTTCTCACCTTTTTCTCCAAACGGGTTATGGCTCCCCCACGAATCATCCCAGAGCGCTACCCGGAATTG